ATCTTGTGTTTTTTCTTTAAGATCTGTAAAAAGATATTTTTTATTGATTTCAGAGAGGAAGGGAGAGGGAGAGAGAGACATAGAAACATCAATGATGAGAGTGAATCACTGATTGGCTGCCTCCTGCACGCCCCCTACTGGGGATCGAGCCCGCAACCCAGGCATGTGCCCCGACCAGGAGGAATCGAACCCAGGACCCTTCAGTCCCCAGGCTGATGCTGACCTAGGACTTAATGCCACCCTCTCCGAATATGCTTCGATCCTGGGGGAAGTAATTAAGGGAGCAGCCAGGAGTCACTGATGAATTAATTAATTAACCTGCTGTGTAGCAGGTGCCTTCTCTGCCCTGGGTGCAGGGCTGGGCTCTGGCTCCCCTAGCCTGACCTCTCCAGGTTGGGTAGGGGCTGGGAGGGGAGCCTGGCCAGGCCTTCACCTCACGGTCTGGTCCTGCAGCCAGCCGGCGTCACACTGCTCATAGCCTGCTTCGTAGGCGGCCTGGAGCTGCTCGGGCGAGGCGATGACCGCCCCGGTGCGCAGGCAGGCCTGCTGTGCCTCCTCGAAGGTCAGTGAGTAGCGGGCAGAGCCGGGGCGGTAGTGGAACACGACCCCTGGGCGGGGAGGACAGGGAGAGAGGGAGAGACAGAGCGGGCTCAGGGCATGGACCGGGTGCCACAACGCCGGTGCCCACGGTGCCCGGTTCTCAAGGCTTTGTGGGCGTGGAGGGAGCCCTGGCTTCTTGAGGCATGGCCTCCCTTCACCCCTGCCTTCATTCCCTCCTTCCGATCCTCTTCCCAGGCCATGTGCACAGTGAAATTCAAATTCTATTTTATTTTTATTAAAATTTTTTAAATTGATTTTAAAGAGAGAGGGAGAGAGAGAGAGATAGAAACATCAATGATGAGAGAAAAATCATTGATCGGCTGCCTCCTGCACACCCTCTATTGGGGATTGAGTCCGCAACCTGGGCATGGGCCCTTGACCGGAAGCGAACCCGGGACCCTTCGGTCCACAGGCCGACGCTCTATCCCCTGAGCCACACCGGCTAGGGCTGGCCTATTTCTTTATCTGACAAATAAGAAGGACCGAATCATAGAGGAGAGACTTGTCCTAGGTCTCGTTGAAGGTAGACACCCCCAGGCCAAGTCCTTTCCACCTGGCCCCCCTCCAGCCCCCTGAGGAGTGGGCACTTACCCCCTGGCAATCGCGGCTGCCCGGGGACCTGGGTTTCACCCGGGGCTGCGGTCACCTGCACCACCAGGTCTTCGCCGGTGAAGGGGCCCAGGCCAGGCGTGGACGCCCCGGGAAAGGCCCAGGGCCTGGTGGCCCCTCCAGTCCCGTTCTCAGCCTCAGGGAAGGCGGTGGCCTCGATGTCGGGGGCCAAGGTGAGGGGTTCCTCGGGCTCCAGGGCCGTGGGGGAGCCGCCGAAGATGGGCTTCACCGTGAGGATCACGTTGCCGCGGGCTTCGCCCTCCGTCATGTTCCGGGGCAAGGGCAGCTCCACGTCGGGCCAGGTCACCGTCTGCACGGTGATGTCCTCCTCGCCACCCACCCCGAAGAAGTTTTCTGGGATATCGATAAAGTCTTCACCTGGGCACGGGGACAGAGGCAAGCGTTAGCCGCTCATCCTGGGCATGAGAGGTGGGAGGCGAGCGTCAGTGCCACCTCCTTCTCCGCTCGGGAAGGCAAGCACCCACTGTGTGCCTGGCACCTTGCTAGGCCCATTTTGGGGTCCTCGTCTATGTGACTATTCATGACTAGAGGCCCAGTGCACGAATTCGTGCACAGGTAGGGTCCCTCAGCCTAGCCCGCGATCAGGGCCCATGGGGGTCAGTGGGTTGGGGAGGGTGGCTGTCAGTCGGGGAGGGATCCCAGGAGGGCTCCACGGCGTGTCTGGCCCTCTCACCCAGTCCCGACTGGCAGGATCCCAGCAGCAAGCTACCCTACCTGTTGGAGCATCTGCCCCCTGGTGGTCAGTGCACATCATAGCGACTGGTCGAGCCGTTGACCAAACGGTCAAACACTTAGCTTATTACGCTTTTATTATATAGGACAGGAGACCATGCAGTTTCCAGATTGCGAAAGAATGCAAAGCTGTCATAGCACAAGATATTAACCAATCATCTCACAGCTCCAGCATCTCTTCCGGGTCAATGCCCGCCGCCTGCTCACCTATTGGCTGAGCACCTTACTGACCAGCCAATGGGGACCATGTCAATCTGCTGTAAAGGGAAACTGGGAAAATCTCTCGAAAGATGCGGGAGCTTGTGGAACGGATGAAACACGGGAGAACTACAGCTTCTGGCAGCAATGAGCCAGGTAATCATTCATGAGGAGACCACGCATGAGCGTGCGGCGACTTCGAGAAGGGTGGTCAGGATATGGAAAGGTCGAGAGAGGCTTTGGGGGAGACCCTAACCATTTTCGCAAAAATAATGCTTTTCATGGAGGAAGATTGGGCTGTGGAAGGCAACACGAAAAGAGCTATGTCACTGTTGCCATAAAACGGATGCAACTCTGTATCATTCATTTTTTCCTGTCCCTCCAAGAATTAGCATTTAGCAGTAATTATTACATAGATTATGTACAATATAAGATAAAAAAATTTTTGTCTAAATTTTCTTTTGAAAAAAAATTTTTTTAAAAGATATTTTATTGGTTTTTTACAGAGAGGAAGGGAGAGGGATAGAGAGTTAGAAACATCGATGAGAGAGAAAC